GGATAAGGCGTATGGAATTAAAGATCAAGGTCTGCTCACATCCTACCTAGGTGTTGAGGTAAAACAAACTGCTGATTGTGTTACGATCCGGCAAAGCAAGTACGCACGTGAGATCTTGGAGACGTTTGGATACCAAAACGCGCATGCTGTAGGAAATCCGATGGAAACAAATGTACGGTTAGTTCCACTACGTGAAGACGAGGAACCAGACACAAGCTTCGCTTACCGACAGGCCATAGGAATGTTAATGTATCTCGCCACTGGATCACGACCAGATTTGGCATTCGCAGTTGGACAGCTGAGCCGATTCGTCTCAAAGCCGTCTGCGAAGCATGTTGGTGCGGTAAAACGAGTACTTAGCTGGCACAGTGGATGTAGGAATTACGTACAGCCGAACCAAGGATATACCAGAGGTGGTAGTTCTCGATGGCTACTGTGACAGTGATTGGGCCAATGACCCCTCATCTAGAAAGAGCACGACAGGACTGGTGTTTACCTTGGCAGGTGGGGCAGTGTCTTGGATGTCGAGACGCCAAACAATAGTGGCGCTATCAACAGCAGAAGCTGAGTACGTGGCAGCCTGTGAAGCAGCAATGGAAACCAAGGCTGAGAGCAACATTTTGCAGGAGATCCTGAAAGCGAAAGATGTGAATCTGAAGATTGGGATCGACAATCAAGCTGCCCATGTACTAGCAATAAACCCGACATACAGTCGGCGAACTAGGCGCGTAGAATTGCGCTGGCACTATGTGCGAGAGCAAGTCTCTAAAGGCGTGATCGAGTTGCACAAGGTGGACGGCAACGAGAATCCTGCGGATATATTCACGAAGCCGTTGGACAAGCATCGACTGCAGAAATTACTGCAACTCATGGGCATTGGAAATGCTCAGGAAAGAACTGGAGTGTAACAAGTGCATCAGTGAATTGCGAAGCATACGCTTCGAGGGAGGCCTGTTAGGATGCACATTGAGACAAGACGACCAAGAAGGTTGAAGTTCAAGTTGGGACCCGTACATCGTGAGACCAAGAAGGATTAAGAAGCAGGGAGCTGCGGGCCTTTGCATGTTAACGGGCAGTTGCTCGAGTTTAGTTGAAGGGAGAGAGAAAGAGAGAACGAAGCTAGCTAAACAAATTTAATCACTTTTCCTTTTCTCATTTGGTGTACACGCTAACTAGTGGAACCGATCTAAACTCTAATAGGGTACTGAGCCTAAGGCGGATTTCTAGCTAGGAGTGACGTTCAAGATGGCACTGGCCTTGAAGTACACAAATGAGGGAGTTCCTAAAAACTGGGACGGAAGGGACTGGCAGCAGTACAAGTGGGCCATGGAGCTTGTTTTCAAGAGGAAGGAGCTTGCGGACGTTGTGTATGAGGTGACCAAGAGGGATCAGCTCACGACTGACGAGGGCAAGACCAAGTTTGATGGCATGCAAGTGACGATCATGCAGTTGATCGGAATGTCACTGCCCGCTGAAAAGCTACACCAAGTTCGACACAAGACCACGGGGACAGAGATGTGGAGAGCGCTATGTGAGATTTATGAGTGCACGGAGAACAAGACAACTATCGCGCACAGAACAAGATATCTGCGTAACGAGCTTGAAGCTGCAAGCTTAGCCCCAGGTGGAGATGTGAATGAACACCTTAGCAAAATGTTTAACCTGCGAACTGAGTTGACGTCATTGAAGTATACCGTTGAGGATATTGGCATGGTCGAGATGCTGTTAGACAGTCTAACAAGTCAACACGAGCTCGAGAGTTTAAAAGCTGGGATTCGTTACAATACTGGTGTTGGAGGTGCATCACCGGAACGGGTTCGAGAGCTGATTCACGCCAAAAGCTATCCAGAGCTAAGGGTGGAGGAAATCAGCGAGGTAATCACAAAGGTAGTGGAAATACTGCAAATAGTGGAAACTCAGGTGGCAATAAGGCCAAGAGTGGAAAGGGCGATAATCAACAGCAGGAGAAGTCCAGTGGATCCAAGAAGAAGCAGAAGAAATGTTTCATTTGTCAGAGCACGGAGCATCTTATAGCTGATTGTCCCCATAAGGTGAAACCTGCAACAGATACTGAGGAGCAAAAACGGAAGCCGAAGGGGCACATGACAATATTCCGTAGCAACCAGGCTGCTGCACGCCCAGATCGCGCTGGGGAAATGGTTGGAGTGGAGGTAGGAACATTAAGTGAGTTTCCAGAAACACCAGAGACGCCCATTGAGATTTTTGATGTTGGCTTAGATGATCGTAACGATGACCATGAAGTTGATGAAGATTCTGAGGAGCATGTGGGGAGTGATGTTACCAGTGATTGGTGGTATTTTGATACTGCTTCTAACACACACCTTACCGGTAACAGAGGCGACTACTGCGTGTTCACGGAAGATACCTCGGAGTCACACAGCGTACATGGAGTCACTCCAGCGTTAGCATCGCATATTTCTGGTGTTGGAACGGTGATCCTGGAGACAGAGGTCGATGGAGAGCCCATGGAGCTCCAATTGTAGGACGTGTTCTATGTCCCAGGAGCAGCAGCCGGACTCCTTTCTCCTGGTTT